CGTGTGGTCATCCTCCCACCACCGCCCTCCCGCCCTACCACCACCCTGCTTTCAGAGGTCTTACGGCAGAGAAGATCGAGCGCCTGCCGAACCCGTTCAAACTAACCACTCGGAGCACATTTTGGAAGCCGTGAAGCGGGAGGGAACACGCGTTCATTCGCTGGATCCTGGATTCATATTGGACCCATTTTTTCCATTTTTGGATCCATACTAGATTCGTCCTGTTATAGCACCAATTTGTGTGTAAAATCCTTGTATTTAATTGAAAAGCATAATTATAACCAGTAGCAGAAATGTTATCAGCGCTCTTGAGTCTGGTTGATTTCGGTAAGGATGAAACGTTTCGGAAATTACGTAATGTCGCAGTCCGCCGAAGCGGCGTGGTGCGCATATGGGTAAGGCAGCGGGGTTGGGTCTTGGGGAATGTACCTGCGGCAAGTCGCGTTATGGGTCCTACTTTATGGCCGCCGCCTCAGCAGGTGTAACGCAACGGCTGCCCGGCAAAAACCCTTATATTTCCGAAGAAGAAATGTGGAAGATCTGCTCCACGGGTCTGCCCTGTGCTGCAGTCGTTGGTTGCCCTGACTACCGACCACATTCCATATACTGCATGTCACTTAAGTAGGTGTCGTTGTTTGCGGGGCTCTTCCTGTCGGGGCCAGGTACATGATGTCGCCTTGGGGGTGGGGGAAAACCCGGGGTTGCAAAACCTACGAAGGCAGGTTGACAAGTGCAGTACTGTACAATATAGGGGTGGGGGTAGGATTACTGAGTGGGGGGAGACGCAGGTCGTAGATGATGGTTTTGTCTATAGAAGATCCGGCCCCCTTCTAGAGCCCTTCCTCTAAAATGGAACTCCCTCTCTTTGACGCCATTTTCATATGTTATAAGTATCTGGATTTAACGAAGCGGAGTCTGTCTGTCAGTCAGTCGGTTACCGCTGTGTGTGTGTGTGTGTTCGTGCCGCCGCCGTCATGCTCGCGCGCATTCTATTCGGGCGCATCGTTTGTTTCGTTCGTGTGGATTGCTTGACGGATTGCCCTTGGATTGGATTGCCCTTGTCCTTGGGGCACTAAGAAGCTCAAACGAAGAAATATCCCTTATCACCCAGATGTGAATGGGTGCGGGTGCAAGAGACTGCAGGCGGCGCCTGACAGGAACCTTTAGCGCTTTTAGCGCTCTCACTGCATAGTCTTCAATCGATAGACTCCAATCGATGCGTGAGCGTGGCTTTGCCGAAGCGCGCTTTGCCACGGGCACGACTTAACCAAGCATGTCGACATCGCTTTCAAGTCGCTTGCTGCGATAACAACAGCGGCTCTGGATGAAACATTTGCGCACAAAAGCACATAGTCGCTTAAGGCCCCTTTAGAGTATTGATGCTCAAATTTGCTTTGGATTTACGCACGGGCCACGCCTGGATAAATTCGCACATTTATAAGGTGTTCTCAACAATGCTGCGAACAGCGGCGATTGCGTCTGGGTGGATAAAGTGGGAAGCGCTGTTACACTTCTGTGCATTGCCTAACTTATGACCCTATGTTTACGCGTTCAGAACACAGTTCTACCGCCTTCGTATAGCCATAGCCAAGAATGCCTTTGGTGTCCTCGCGACAGGATGGCAAGGTTGGATTTGTTCAGTGGGTAACGATTCTGTAGGTGCCCGCTTCGGTTGCAGAGACGAGGAGAGAACGCGCGGTGGAGAGAATGTACGAGCGTCGGCGGTGCGTTACCGTCTGCAGCTATGGCTCCTCGCTCGCGTGCAACTTGTGATGCAAAATACTAGTAGCTTCTTGTGCTAGTTTGGACCAGACGGCTCCCTCACTAAGGATGCACCGTAGTCCGCCTTATGGCAACTCACAAGCTCCACGCGAAGGGCGGGCGACTGTACATACTGAATCCGGTGCAAAGATAAATCGCCTGCTCTTACGTACGGGCCTATAGAGCTTCCCGTCTACCTAAGTGGCTATCGATACCGCCTTGATCAAGGAGGGGAACAGAACAGGCTCTTGTCGCCCCGGACCCGTGGGACTAGGAGCTGGAACGGGCACCCCATCCAAGACGGTACAAGCCGATATGCATACAACTAAGAACAAAATAAACGAGAGGCACCTTGTGGAGAACGCTTTA